CTGGCCCATCTCCAAAGCCCTGGGAGCTTTGCTGGGTGTTCAGGTGGGACAGCCCAGAGCAGCTACTGCCCAAAGCTGATCCATCCCACTGCCTGCCATGGCCCAAGGCAGAGGGAGATCCCTGCAGGGAGGAGTCAATCCAGCTCCCACATACCACATAGGGCAGCAGGCATCCTCACACTAAGGCAATGCAAGGATCAGAGCAGAGATTAAGACCTCAGGAAACACCTTTTTCCTCTGCTCAACCCCAAAATGAGGTAGGTGGGGGATGTCCCAGAGACAGCTACAGATGTGCCCAGCAAGTTCCCAGAGTCCTTACCCAATTGTCAGGATCACAGGCGTAGGAGATTCAGACACACTGAAATGGAATTGTTCCTCAAACACCCCCAGTATGGTGGCACTGAAGGAGATCTGAATAGTCTGGATCCCACCTGGTTCAATGACACCCTTCTCGGGTGTAAACTTGAAACAGCAGCCCACATTTGTGGTTGAAGGGATATAGACAAAGGGAGCATCAAGAACTCCTTGGTTAATGAGTTTCACCTGCAGCAGCAAGAAAGCAAAATGGAAATATAATAGCAAAATCTTCCCTTCTTGTGAGTTATTGTCTCATGATGCAATTAACACCCAGAAAAGGCAGAAGATGCTTTGTGCTGCTGAATGGCAGAAGTCAAAAAAATACAACAGGACAAGTTCTGCCTTTGGGTTCTCCTGCAAAGCAGCAGTAACTCCACATAACCAGAGTCACCCTGGGCTTATCCCATGGACACAGAGCACTCCAGCTCTGGCCAGCATCACCAAGCTCATTCAGAGCTGGCCCTGAGAGCAACGTGGGGCAGCTGCGTAGTCAATCACCAGAGAGCTGCTGCTGCCCCAGTTAGCACAGCTCCAACAGTTCCATCTACTCATTCACCTTTTCCCAAATCATGAGAACAACACACTGATAATGAGGCAACAGCATCAAAATGTATAGACAGCACCATCTTTTGGTAAGGAAACTCAATGTGCCTTTGTCTTCCACAGCCAAGCTCTTGGAAGTGTCTGGCATGATGCATTGCCTCATTTTCTACCTCTTCCAGTTGCTGTCTCTTTATTTTATTTTTTTTTGCAAACTTGACACTACTGGGGGAGAGGCAAACAGGTAGAAAAATCCTTTGCTTTATTCCCAGGAACACTTTTCTCTCTCTGGAGCCAGAAGTACACCATGGCAGAAGCGTGGTGAGGGAGTGGTCAGCAAGGGAAAGAACTCCCAAGCCCTTTGCAAGGGCCAGCACTGAGCCAGGAGGCTGGATGGCTTTCCTGTGACTCCCAGGAATAAGCAGGAGACACTCCACTGAGAATTGTTTGCAGTGGACTGGAGCTGAAATGCAGCCAGTTGTTCCAGCTACTTTTGAACAGCCCAGTGCAAAGGTGCTTTGTGTCTGGTGCTGCCACAAAAGCCTCTGAACATGCAGCTTTTTGACCCAGTGTTGGTTTATATGCCAAGGGGCTGTTCTGCAGGAAGCCTCTGAGCTGATCCCCAAGGCTGGCTGCCAAAAAGCAGGGACTGGGGCTTCATGAACAGCAGACACACCTTTCTGACCCCCCCAGATTTGACCAGTACATCAAATATTCCCTGCCCACAACTGCCCATGTTGCCAGGAATTCCACAGGTCCACCAGGCTTGCTGCTGCCTCAGGAGCCATCAGGATCCATCCCAACCCCTGCTGCTCACCTCATAGACGTGGGAGGTGTTGATAAAAAGGTTTCCAAGTTTCAGCATATGACAGCTGAATTCAAGCAAGGGTCCTTGGCCTTCCCCTCTGAGGTGCAGGGGCAGCCTGCTCCCACGGCCTGGGGAGAGATGTCCATTTCAGTAGAATAATTCCCACAGTTATACTGTATTTTCCAGGCTGCCTGAATGCTAGCCCCTGGCTCTGAGCTGGATGCAACCAGCTCCTGACGCTGCAAGAGAAGATATGGACCCTTCTCTTCCCTCAGGAGATATCCCTTGGGGCTGACTTCCAATTTCTAACCCATTCCTTGGGCTGGTTTCCAATTTTAGCCACCAGTTTGCTGAGTTTAAAACATCTCTGATGTCCTGTAATGACAGCCCAAGGAGTAATGGGTAATGGGTATAAATTGAAAGAAAGGAAATTTAGGTTTGCTATTAGGAAGAAATGTTTTACTGTGAGGGTGGTGAGACACTGGAGCAGGCTCCCCAGGGGAGTTGTGGAGGTTCCAGCCTGAGAGTGTTCAAAGCCAGGCTGCTTGGGGCTTGGAGCTACCTGCTCTAGTGGGAGGTGTCCCTACCCAGGGCAGGGCTCTTGGGACTGGACGATCTTCAAGGTCCATTCCATCCCTAACATACCATGATTCTATGGTTTCCTTCCCATGCACCTAGAGGAGCTTTGAAATCCATTCAGTGAAGGCACAAAGCTCATCAAGAGGAGCTTTGAAATCCATTCAGTGAAGGCACAAAGCTCATCAAGAGTTTGGCAATTGTACCTGGCAGATTGTTGGGCAGCAATTGCCAAACTACCTGGCCCAGTAGCACAAGACTTTGTTGCCAAAGTCCTCAACTTCTGACACTCAGCATTGTGTTCTATCTCCACAGACTGGGAACTGCAAGGTGCCAATTCCCACACAGGGAGAGAAGCAGATGCTGGCCAAGGGTGATACTTCTACAAAGACCATGGGCTCAGTGGGGCTCAGCCACCTCTGGTCTGGTGGTGTGTGGGCAGTGGGAGGTGATCCAGGCTCAGGGAGCACATTTCTAACTCAGCTCCTGCTGCCTGATGATGGATCCATGCCAAATGGACCCATCCTGGAGGTCACTGGTCTAGAGGGGCTTAGTGCTTGTTCTCTCAAGCTGTTCTGCTCTGGCCTTTGAGGAAATGCTGGCAAAGCCGTGCCATGAAAACATCTCCCTGCAGTGCCTGGGTTGTTCTGGGATCAGTAACCCAGACCCAGGATTCTGACCCTGGCCTTGCACAGGAGACTCCCTGGAAGCTGCAGGGGCAGTGGCATGTGCCAGCACTGCCCTGCTGCCCAGGGACTCTTCCCAGCAGTTCCAGGGGAGCCCAGTGGGCTCAGGCTTGCACCATGGCTTCAGTAGGGCTGAGAGAAGCAGGGGAAAGGAGCTGTACCTGAGATGTTGCAGTAAGCCACACTCCGATACTCTCGGGCCTTTAGGGGTTTAAAGGTCACCTTGATTTGGACTGAACTATTTGGCCCGATCTCTCCCTCCTGAAACAGAAAGAGACAGCAAAACATTTCTCTTCAAACTTCCCATTTCTTGTGTACAACCACAGTCCTGCAAGCCTTTATTTAGAGCATCAGTGATGAGTGAACAACACAAGGAGCCCAAGGAAACGCTCCAAACCTAGCTCAATACACCACTGGAAGCTCTCAATGCTCAGCTGATCAGCTCCCACTCTCCACAACATTCCCACTGCTCTGACACAAGCTGTTGGTCACATCATGCTGCTGTCAGCTGCAGTATGTAACTGCCTCTGTGCACTGGTGCACTTGGCAAGAAGAGAACATGATCCCCTTCCCTGGAAATAAAAATATTAGTTTAACCTGTTTGGAAAGAAAGCAGGGGTTGGGATTATTCTGGGGTTTACTCCAAGATGAGAAGGGATTTTGCACTGTGCAGACTCCAGGCATTCATCATCTCTCACAATGCCAATCCTCAGAATCAGGGCTCTGGTTGATGGGAGAACGTGGGGGTTCACTTGCATAAACAGAAGAGGAGGAGGAGGGAAGGGAAGGGGAAGGGGAAGGGGAAAGGGAAGAGTTAGAGTGTTAGAGTGTTAGGGAGTTAGAGAGTTAGAGTTAGAGGAAGAAAGTGAGGCTCTCAGCTATCACTTACCAGTGGCTCAAGGGAAAAAGCATCATTGGAGAATAGCATGGGGTCTTCTTTCACCATCATCATCTTCTCCCGGACGCTGCTCTTCAGGATGGCGCGGCGATCTTCACAGGAACCCTTCTTCTTCGCTCTTCTTCTCTCTCCCGTCGTGTTGTCCACGCAGGCCTCTCTCGGTGATCGCAGCAAGTAACACTGCCTGCAGCCACAGGGACAGACAAAGCCAGCAGATGGTTCAATGAGCCCGAGATTTGCAGAGAGAAGTGGAAGTGCAGGAGAGCAAAGCACCTGGGGAGGAGCAGCAGCAGCTCCCAGCAAGGGCGACCCCAAGCCATGGCAATCCCAAGTGGATCAGAGCATAACTTGTTCACTGGTACAACAGGTAGTTTTACTGCACACTTGCAAACACAGGAGAGGTTTGGAAAGCCAGCATCCCTTAAGAGAACCTCCGGCCTCAAAGCCTCTGCCAAAACTGAGGGACAATCCAGCAGCCACCTCAACTGGCTTTTCCTACCACTGAGATGCTCAGGGGAGGAGATAAAGATCATGGAGCAGGACTTCCCTGGGAAGGGGAGATGAAGCTGGGTCACAGCTCTGTGTTACCAGCATCACTCTTGGTTTCTTCTCTTTGGGACCTGCCCTGTTCCCTGCTCTGCCTTTCTCAAGAGCATCCCAGAGCACTTCCAAAGGAAAAGGATGAATTCAGGCACTGCATCCCTTCAATGACATTCAAGGTTTTATATGCATGAAAACAGAGGCTCTGAGAAGGGAAGGGACTTGGTTGTGCAGGAGGGGGACAGCAAACTCCTGGAGAGACCTTTTTGTGATCCAGAGCTTTATGGGTCCCATCCCAGTGCATGGTAGTAGAATCCTGTAGTAGTCCTGAGAGGAAAAGGATCCTACACTATCTCCTCTCATAAAAAAAAGTCTTCTCTGCTCCAAGACCTCAAAAGCTTCTCTGACAGCAGGACAGTGGCCTTGGAGCTAAAACCATCCCTAGGACTGGAAATAAGGAAGAATGAAATGTCATGGTGACAGTCTAGGACTGTCATAAAACTGGTGTGAAAACAGATGCTTTTGGAAAAAAACCCATGAAACCAAAACCAGGCTGAAGTTTCCTTTGGGGAAACCTTGTTGCTTCTGAGGGGAAAGTGGATCACCTGGGGTCCAGGCTGAGGCAGGCAAGTGGGAAAAATGGAAATAAACAGCCCAGGGAAGCAGCCAGAGAAGGTCACAGGATTTTCTTTTAACACACAGAGCTTGTATGAAAGTCAGACATCGTGTAAGCAGATAGAGAACAGTGGAAAACCAAGAAGCCCAGGGCACTAAAGGACCCTCTTGCCAGCCATTCAAGTGGGCCAGTGTTCATCTCCTGGTCCTTTGCAGGCAGCTTAAAATGGCTCTGAGGAGTGCAAATGACCTGGCCCACAGCAAGCAGGGGCTTTCCAGGGCAGTTTTGGCAGGGCAGTTCTGGCAGGGCAGTTTGCACAAGCAGGCTGAGCAGAAAGGATGCAGCCACCCACCCTCCTTCTGTAGTGGGTTGTGTCTTTTGGCTGGTTGTGAGGTGCTTGCCTTTTATTTTCTTTTTGCTTTCTTCCCTTTTTTTCCCCCCCAGCAATGGTTTACAAATGACCAAAAGCCATTGCTGCTGCTGCCCCGTTAGAACTTGAGGAAATCCAGTCATTGCCATCAACCTTTCCTTCCCAAAATGCCATCCCTGGCTGGGGTATAAATGGAACTGGAATGTCAAGTGCTGAGCTCCTGAAGCCCAGGGACACACCCCCTAATGCCAGGGATGCTTTACTTGGCCTGAGCCATTCCAAAGCACCAACACCCTCCTGAGGCCGTACGTTAGTTTTAGTCTTGGCCCATGGATCTCACTGAAATGCATCTTTCAAACCAACCTCCTCTTCTCTTCATTCTCATCTTCCTCACTAGGAAAAGTCTTCCACTGGAACTGGGCTCTGATGTTACTCCTGTTCTCGATGAACATTGCTGTGTGGCTTGACGTGGTGATGAAAGTCTTCTTCAGCTCCACGGAATACGTCCTCAACCCGATGCTGACATCTACAGCTTCTCCCTGAAGGTTTGTGTGGATCCTTTCTTCACCTGGAACAAAGCAAAGGGGAGCCTTTGCTCAGCTCAGTTGCTGATGAAAGCCCAAGGAACAGAGCAAACCACAGGTGACAGAAGAAAGGGTCACAGCTTTTAGCTCTATTTGCAGTTCTAGGGGTCAGCACATTTATAACGTCCTGACAGCTGTGTGTGTGCAGCGTGAGGGTGTCCTGGGCACCTCCTAAAACAGCTCATTTTGGAGTGTGTTTGTGGAGATTTGGCCCCAAGGTACAGTGAGGTTTGTCAGGTGTGCTCAGGTGACCCACTCAGATCACCAGGATTTCTGCATCCAAGTCCTTCAGGTGATGCTGAGGAGCCCTGTTCAGTCCTGGCTTGCCTGGGGTTTCCCCTGGGCATCCCATGAGATTCCTGTCTCTCCTGATCCCTTGGATCCCTTGCTGCTGACAAGCAAATCCACCTGGGGGCATGTGAGCAGAAAAAGGAGGCCCAGAGGAACAAGTGAGGTGAAGCCCACAGCAGGAGGGGACCCAGGTGAGGAAACACAACCAGCCTGGCTCTGCAATATGACAAACCACTACAAAATGAACACCATGAAAATCATCATCATCATCATCATCAGCTCCCTGTCCAAACACACAGCCACATCAGTCTTGAAATATTTGATATTGTTCTGATCTCAAAAACCAAACTGGAGCATTTCAAATTGAATAAAAAAGGGACCAAGGAAAGATCAGTAAGTACAGAGCAGCTTCCACATGAAGCCTGAATGGGATTCCTCAGTCAAGAAATCAAATGGGAGATAGATGTGAGAGGTGTGCAACAGCATGAATGGCCTGGGAAATGGGGACAAGGAAAAAATTGTCTTGATTTGTCACCAAAAAGTACTTGAGGATTTGAAAATGTTATTGGACAGAAACTATATATATGTGTAGAGGGCAACACAGTACAAGGGTCTATGACAAGCCAGTGGAGCAGCAGCCTATGGGACAGAGGTGTGCAAGAAATACACTGCATTGGAGAGAGTCTGATGGAGACCTCACACCTCACACACAGCACTGGCCAGAATAAAACAAAACTTCAGCCAGGCATAGCCACGTGGCAGTGGAGAATCAGGGCTCCTCCTTCCTCCACTCAGCAACTCTCAGCAAAACAGGAGCCCAAAAATCTTAGTCCTGTTAGAGGGGATGCACTTTATCAGCCCCCTAAGCACCAACTGGTTCTGAGTTTTCTTTGGGGTTGAGCTGGAACAGGGGAGGTACATCTAGAGGGAATTGAGGTGGCTGGCACAACAGGGAGTGGTGCTGGAGAAGTGTCCTGTGCCCCGTGCAGTGCCCAGCACTCACCTGTGTTGTAGCACACCACCATGGACCCAAAATGGGCACCAGTGGTCAGCGGGTGAAATCCCACTGTCACCTGCACGCTGTCACCAGCACCCAGAGCTCCCATGGCCGGAACCACGGAGAAAGGACTGCAACACAAAGAGAGAGATCAGGACTCAGGGGACATCTGGGGATGATATTCCTTCTGCAGTGCAGGTCACTTCGGCTCCCTTGGGCAAGCAGGGAGCACAGAAACCTCAGGCAACAGAAAAGAGACAAAACAGGATCAGAAACAGCTGCTGACCCACTTCTGAGGGGATACAGACCTCAGGAGATCCCGTGGGATAAAATGACCTCATCTGCCCCATACTCTGCATCCAGCTCTCTGCAATGAGACCCAAGGATCCCACTGCCAGCAATCCCATCAGAGAATGGTTTGTGAAACCACTGAGAGCATTAAGAGCTGTCTGCATGCACAACTTGACACTGACTGCCTCAGGAATTTCTCTTGTCCTGCTGCCTATCAACCTCATCTCCAGAGATGCAAATGTTAGGCCACTACCTGTCCTGTGAGATTACAGCCTAGGAATCAGACAGGGAGAAGGAACTTTTCCTTGAAGACCAAGAAATAATTACTGTTGAATTTGCAGCGTGGCTCTTTGGTTTATTTTTATAATTATAAAATAATATTTTATTATTTTATTTAATATCCCGATTTAGCCTATAAAGGGCACATTTTATCAGCATTTCAATGAAAGCTGCTCTAAGAAAAGGAGCAGTCAAAACTCTGGAAGAGTGTAAATGCAGATGAGAGCAATACAGAGACATGGAAACAAGACCCAAAGGGAGGATGCCATTTACAATCTGAAGGATCCAAGCCCAGCTAAATGAAGCACCATTAGCAGGGCAGCTCATGAGAGGAGCACTGGGCAGCCACGTGCCTGTGGCCTCCCAGAGAATGGGGCTATTTGGCTGACTCTGGTAACCATTTCAGAAGCTGCTGGTGCTCAGGAGGGTGCAAGGCAGCTCCTCACATGTTCCAGCACCCTCCAAGAAATGTGGGACAGAGAAAGCTCAAAGGCTGCATCCTGCTAGGAGCACTGAAAGCAAGAGCAGATGCCATCCATCCTGCTCACTTCCAGCCAGAGCTGCAGTGCAGCCCTGATGCTCAGCTTCCTTTTGTTGCTCTTTGCCAAGCCTATTATCACCCAAAGGTGTTTTGCACAAGGACAGAGGAGCTGCCTCACCTCTGGGTGCTGATGTAGTAATGAGCCTCCAGGTTGCCAGTGTTGCGAAGCAGCAGAGTCTTCTTGGTGCTGCTCTTGACCGGACACTCCGAGAAGTTCAGCTGGTCTGGGATGGTCAGGATAGCTCGGGCAGCAATGGCCCGAATTGGCACAACTATCCTTTCTGTTTTAGTGATGCAGACCAGCTCATGGGAATAATCCTGCAGGAAAAGAAACTAGCTCAGCATGGGGCATTTAGTGCCATTCCCATGGCAGAAGAAAACAATGGCCTAGAACCCTTCAAGGGCATCTATTCTATTCTATTCTA